TGAGATTGTGATGTTGGTCGAATATTTTGTTGTACTTCATTGTCATTCAAACGATCCAAACGAACGACAGAACGATAAATTCGACCACCATCATATTGTTCGATTAACTCTCGCATTGGGCCGAATGTCAATGAGACTCTTTCTTGTTGCCCATTGTTGAACAGTACCAAATATTCCACCTGTAAAGAGAAAGAGAACAGAATGAATTATTCATTATTAGTATCAAATGATTCTCGTTGTTCTTTCTGTTTCCATCGAAATGTGTAAACATCAAAATGAAGCAAACAGAGAACATTCTATTGTCCAAAAATTGAGAGTCAGCAAATTCCCATGCTGATTTCCGCTATTTATCTCAGAATAAAACTTATATTTTAAATTTGGAAGTGATTGAATCATTTTAAGAATTTATAAAAATTTCATTTCGAATGTAATCTGTACAAAAAAAAATCGGAGATTTGTTGAAAAACTACTCACCGTTCCGTTATCGATTATATTGGAGTCGATGATTCTCACTGGCCATGGGTCCCAATCCACTTCGTCAAGGTTATCATGATCAATGTTTACAGCGGCAATCCATTCGGAATCATTAATACTGTTCAAAACAAGATGTTGGACCTGCAAAGAAAAAAATAATAACAATAATAATTGAAAAAAAATTATGAAATTAATAATGAAATGTATATAATGCAGGAGTATATTTACCTCATTGTAATGAATTCGCCTTGCCACAATTCTCTCATTTTCGTCATTGTATGATGATGCACGTTTTCGGCGCTTGGCAATTGGCTCACTCCCACTGTCCGATTCACTTGACATCGATGATGTGTTGCTACCATCGATACCCGAATTCTGAAAAAATAGATTAAAAAAAACACAATAAATTAAAATGAAATGAAAAATTATGTCGAGCACACAGCTAGGAGAAGCGCCATTTCTCTATTTTGTACACACAGTCTACTTTGATCCACTTGTATTCTGACTAACGGTAAACGTATAAAATTGCATACGATACAACGCGAATAAAAAAGATCACATAAACACGCGCATGAAATTCGATGAAATGCAAAAAAAATTTAACAAACGTAACGATGAAATTAGAAAAAGTAACAAAAAAATCGAAAATTGATTTCAAACAACAACGACAGCGACAAAAATTGACATGGACATAATCACACAATGTATTAAAAATATATGAAAATATAAAAAATTACTTACCGAATTCGATGACGACGACGATGGTGAGGATGATCTATGTAACAAATCTATTATTTCTCTTCTCTCGCGCACCATTTTTCAAAAAATAATTCCAAATTATTAAATTTTATTGCCAAAAAAAATTGCTGACCAAATTCTGTGTATAGCAGAGATACGTGTTTATGCTTCGAATGTCAACCACTAAATATGCAGGCATAAACACGATTTCACAAGTCGAACATCTCCACAAAATCTACTGTGTGTGAGTGTGTGGGTAATAATCACAACATTTGAATAAACTCACCCGAATCGCTTTTGTCTCACTCACTCTTACATGTTGATTGCTCATTCCTACTATTGTCGTATGTCGTCTCGGCGTTGTTGTCGTTCTCGTCATCGTTGTTCCGATTGGTTCCGATGCGATTGATGCATTGTATTACCAACACTACTACCAAATCTCAATTTTTCAACAATCTGTGTGTTTGCTGAATCAGCGCAATTTTTTTGTGTTTGTTTGTGTGCCACACACCATACAAACCATATTATAATTTGACTTTCTTAAATTCTATTTTATGTTATTTGATTTTAAATGAAATTCAATTTAGGACAATATTTGAAAGAATGGGAATAGAAATGGGATGGTAATGGGTCTGTAATGGAATAGTAATTTTTAAGTGAGCAAACCTTGTTGATTTCCCATTTCGATGAATTCATCGTTATTTACGTCGGCATTGTTAGCACAATCATTGACACTGCTAATTATGATGTCCGATTTCAATGATGCTGGAAATTTGGTCATCGGAATCGATGCAATCTTTGAATCTACATTCAGACAGTCAGGCTTATGCAGCAACCGTATGGTCAACAAAATATTCGATATAGTCAAGGCAAGCACAGATATTATGCTAAAGTTCCACATTTGACACATCTTATAGAATGCAATTCAAATATAATACAAGTTTTATTGATTTTTCCGGTTCAAACATCAGCGTTGTTTGGAAAACGATATAAAATATGCTAATCAAATGAAATTCATACTTACATACCATGATTTTGATAGAGTTTTTCGAAACAACATTTTATTGCAACGATGATGTCGATGATGATGTTAGATGATGTTATTGTTGATGAATCATCAAACCCGTGTTCTATAAACTCTATATTCGTGAATCAAATTCTTATAATCTATTACATTACTTATTCATATACGTTGGTGGTTTTGCATTTGGTCGTTTTGCCTTAAAAAAAACGCTTGTATGGCCCTGTCTTTTTTGTATCGAAATTATTTTAACCGCAACACAAGCAGCAAACACGAAACGGTATTTTTACATTCATTGCAATACACTAATGGCCTGACATTAAAAAAATGACTCAAACAATTCAGTCACAAGGATAATACAAATGTCAAAGTATCCTTGCTGTTTATTGCGCGTACTCAAGCATGCATGAGTCATACTTAATCAGTGATAAAGGAAGTGGACTGTTAAATACAATTTTGAATACTTATGAATTTCTTTATTTCGCAATTGGATTGAACTCCTTGAAATTTCGAGTTTAAATGTTATGCACAACATTTTTGCTCTCAATATGATTGAAGCGCAATATCATTTCTTTTTTCAAAAATAAACACCCGCAAATATTGAAATTTATAATAAAGATTTTTATTTTGAAATTTTTAATTTTGTCTACTGTTTTCTTACAGTCATATACTATAGAAAATACAAACAACATATAATTATGGAAATGAAGTGGCAGACCAGAGCCCCCTTTTACTTTTGGTTATTTTGATTTTTCAATGTGATGTTCACGTAAACTTGCAAGTAGCTTCACATTTTCTGCCTCGGGATGCTCTTATGTGCGCTGATTAATATATCAGTTATTGGGTGCCATCTCATAGTCATTATTTTCGTATTGTGGAGCATTATATGCAACTCGTGGCGTGGCCAATGACTGTTGAA